GGAGCCAGTGAGGGATTGTTCCTGGCAGGCTCTCCACAGAGAGGTGCCCTGGAGGAGGCCGGCGGAGCAGGGGGCTGCACTGAGGTTTGCTTTGGGGGCTAGGAGAACCCTTGTCCCATGATCTAGAAGAGGTAATTGTAACAAAATGTTGCTCTTTCTGTTACATAGCGTCAAAAGAAGGAGAAATTACTGTTCACTTCTGGAATGGCAAGACAGCTAGCGTGCCTCGAGGCGGGGTCAGGTGGGTGCCCCCTGCTGTCTGGAAGAAGGCTGGGGGAGGCTGCACAAGCCTTCAATCAAGGAGCATGCCGGCGCCCTCCTCTGGGCCCCTTGCTGCTCTCCGCGGGGACCAGCTGCTGGATGGGTCACCAACGGGCTTTCTCCGGGCACTCCGTTCCTGTGTCCTCCCTGCGTCCCCCAGGCCTGCTGCCAACTGCTGGGCCAGGGCTGCCTCTGCCCTTGCCCCTTGGCTGGACCTACCTGGTGGCCTCTAACCAGGGCCAAAGAACATCCAGAGGTAGAACTGAAGCCCACAGCACCACGTTTGCCCCTAGAGGGTCCTAAAGAAGAGGAAGGAGCAGTGCAAGCTCCCCTGGGGGTTTCTTCTTCTTCTTCCTCTTCTTCCGAAGAGGATTTGGAGAATGATCTGCAGATTGGCCTCCCCCAGAGGCTGATGGTGGACAGCACAGTCAACACAGACCCCATCCTCCTTGAGAAGTCTCCGAGGAGGCAGGGTGGCCTCTGCCAGCCCGAGTGGAGGTATTGGAGGAGAAACGGGTCCAAGCTGCAACCTGGGAAGCCAGGTATACCTTCTTGTAAGGCAGAGCTGGGGGCCCTGCTCTCTTCCCTCCCATGTGTCTCGTAGGGATCTCATGCACGCATCCCCCGTGCTGCAATTGGAAGTAACACTTAGGAGTGTGGCCATGTTGAAGGGGAGGCTGTGATAAAAGGGAGATAATAGGTTTCCATTTGAGCCCATCCGTAAGAGAGGATGGGCTGATCTTCGTGCGAAGGTTTGCATCCCTGTCTAACAGCTGTCTTTTCCTCCTTCACTAGTCTCTACTGACAGGGCGCTGCCTTTGTCTGTATTTGCCTGTCCCCCCAACCCCTCCTTTTTTTCTTGGGGCCCTTGATTTTTCTCTAGATGAATAGTCAAAATGCCTTCAGGTGTTGATTAGAGTCTTCAATGGCCCGAGAGGCACAGAAACTGGTCTTTAAACATTCATTGGTCATCAGGCCCTACTCTCCCCTGGTCCCCTTAGTGAATCAGAGTGGAAAGAAGCAGGGCACTGCATCATGCTGCTCATTCCTTGCGAGAAGGGGAGGCAGGGCTGTTGATCCACAGCCATCCCCATCTTCACCTCGAGCTAAGAACCCCGTGACGCCCCCACAGGTTTAGAAGCCGTGTTATCACTGACATGCCTCATGCCTGTCCTAGCTAAATTCCCAGCGGGGCCCGGACAGAGCAGAAGCCCCAGTCAGCGGGCAGAGGCGGCTGGGATAAGCCCAGCCCTAGACTAGATTCCTGGGACCCTGGGGTCACTAACCGAACATAGAGTGAACTAAATACACATTCAGTCTGGGGCAGGGAGGCTGTGTGGTTTTAGAGTAGCACTGCTAAGGGCTTAAAGATCTCCAGACACCACCCACATTGGGACCCGCTGTGGGTCCCTGTTTGAAGCCACTGGCCTCTTTCCAGGACAGCTGCTCAGCTGAGGGACCTCTTAGCCACGAGGATTTCACACTTGCCCCAGGGATAAGAACTTTGTTGGTCTTCATGGGGCGCCTGGGTGGCTCAGTTGGTTAAGCGACTGCCTTCAGCTCAGGTCATGATCCTGGAGTCCCGGGATCGAGTCCCACATCGGGCTCCCTGCTCAGCAGGGAGTCTGCTTCTCCCTCTGACCCTCCTCCCTCTCGTGCTCTCTGTCTCTCATTCTCTCTCTCTCAAATAAATAAATAAAATCTTTTTAAAAAAAATAAATAAAATTGTTTAAAAAAAAAAAAAAAAAAGAACTTTGTTGGTCTTCAGTTCCAGAAAGTTGAAAAATTGTTTCTACACCGAGAGGCCATCTTGGTGACTCCTGGACCCCTGGGCTTTGGCGGGGCATGGGGGTGGACGGGTGGGAATGGTGTAAGTTGGCTGCTCTTGTACTTTATAGGTGGGTTCTAGACCTTCCTTGGCTTTCCAGGTGTGGGATTCTCCCCCTGCCCCAGGGAAAGAACTGGAGGAACAAGAAGTCAGCTGTGTGCAGCTGAGCTCCTCCTCCCCTCTCGGAGAGGAGCCTTTGTATTGAAAATACCAAGCTGGGCAGGCTCTTGGGCTTCTGGGAGATGGTCACGGATCTCATGGCGAGAGGCTGTGGGAGGTGCTGGCAGAAGCTACTAGGAAACAGCTGTTCCTCTCAGATACAGCCACCCTACAGGTGATACTATCAAGGAAATGGTGCCCAAGCCTAGACATTTCATGCTAAATTTGCCATAGCTTCCACTGCCTCCTGCTTCAGCAGACTGGAGAAAGAAAAGCGGTACCTACCCCACAGACAGGAGTCTGTAGGGAGCAACAGAGAAGCACCAGGCCCGGCCTCAGGAGGGGATGCCAGAGGGGTAACCAGAGGGGCCATGGTGCTCACACAGGTTTTGGGCACCAGCTCTGCATTCCCAGTACTGTAGCTTGGCTCCCCAGCATTCCATCTGGACCAGTTCCAAACCTGGTTAAGTCCACACCTCTTTTCCCTAAGCACACACTGCTCATCTCCCTCCACTGCCCAGCCACCCACATTCAGTCTCTCTTCCCATCACCACATTTAAACAGATCCACTCTAAAGTTTTGTTCCCCGCCCCCACCAAAAATTCTAGTAATTGTCCATAAAGAAGATAAATATGGTACCTTCAGGTACCTGGTCTGGTTTTCCCTTAGGTACTACTAAGGTCATTTGTCATGCTCCAGGCAAAGGTTAATTCCTAGAGCTGAACCATGAGGATCCCTGGACCTGCCCTCTGCCAGGTCCCAAGCCTGTGTGCAAAGCTATGGAGACTATTCTTGAGTCAGAGTGTGAAGAAAGGGGCCATCCCTGGCCCTTGTCGCGGGGTGGGGGTGGGGCACTGTGTGCCACAAGTGACTAGTGAGGATGAAGTGCAGAAAACCGGGTGTGCACCAGCGCCGGAAACAATGGCAAACACCAGAGCTTTCCTTTTCTCCCCCTCCAGATTTTGTTGCTTTTAGGGAAATGTGCTGCTTTGCTTCTCCTAATTGTGCTTGACGGCCTGCAGTCAAGTACTGATGCCTGATGGTCAGCCTTAGGCTCTGCCTCACGACAACGCTCGTGTGGGTCCCTCTGCCCTCCGTGCTTGTTACTTCCCGAGTTCCCGTCTGATCCCAACCTAACAATTCTAGGAAGGCCAGGTTGCTGGCTGCCCGCAGTTACTTTGCTCTCCTCCCGAGCTTATGACTGAAACAGGATTTAATCTGTAGTTTTAAAAGCCTGCAAGAGGATGGATTCCTGTAAAGTAGTCCTTCCTTTTCAGATTCTTTTCCTACTCCCCAGGGAGTCACATCTCCCATTATTTTGTTTTTGCCTCACACCCAACCTCTTAAAACCTCCCCCCCGACCCCAGCTCACTACCTCTTCTTTGTGATCAGTGTGATTTATAAGCTCCTTTGACAGGTGGCAGTTGGCCACCTTTGCTTCCCCTACTGGCTGCTCTGAAAATCGTGTCTGATACCTTCTCCCATCTAATTCCAAATGTGGTTATCAGATAAAACCTATCCAAAAAGTGTAATGGCCAGAAATGACTAACAAACTTTATTTCTCTTTAAAAAGCTGAGAGCAGTGGTAGGGACTTAGTTAGATTCTGGGATCCTGACATAGTTCCACTTCAGTCATCAGGACCAATCCCATGGTGGCACATGCAACATAACTCACTGAATTTGGGCTTTAGGAACAAGACATGGAACCATCTGGAGAGAAAAGAGGGGCAACAAACAACAAAGGGTACAGAGTGTAGTGCTGGGGAATACGAAGGAGCTGGTCCTGGAAGCAAGCGGTGTGAAGCCACCACAGATCCTGCCAGAGGACGGTGAACACAGAGAATGGAGTCCGGGAACAGCGACCCACCAGAGGGACCAAAATGCCCTCAGACTGAAAGCCCCGAGGAGCCAGGTAAAGCAGGATGGCTGGGAAGGGGCTCCTAAGGACTCCTCATGTGGTTCTTCGTGCCCCTTTTGAGAATGCGAACTCCCATGCTGTCTTTTCCCAGGAAAATGCACATACCCACGATTTTGCATTCCATTTCAGAAGGCTTACAGAACCCACACAGCTGATCACAGGCTTCTTATGGAGGCAAGGATCCCATTTAAGTGACACTCTTGACCCTATGGTGATGGGCATGGGTCTGCCTGACTAGGCCCTCTGTCCGTGGGAGTCCGTTCCTCACTAGGAACGCTAACACAGCCCTACTTAAAACTTGGCTCTCATCATATAAAACACTGGCGTTTGTCCTGAGGAAAGACTGGTCACGTTCGGAATGAGATGAACTACCAGGCAACCAAACTGGCCAACGGCAGCACTGCTGTTGGCCCGGTGGCCTCAAGGAGTTCAGGGCACATCACGACTTTTTAAGATCAGTGACTTTTGATCCTTAAAATTACAGTCAGCATCAGACTCTCGGGATTTTTTTTTTTCTTATAGGAAGCTAAAAGAGCAGTGGTGGTAACTACCTGAGGAGGCGCTACCAAGTGGCTGCCAGGTCGTCCCGTGACGGCCGGGCGCACAACAGCGGCATCCTCATGCGCTAGACTTGCCTGCAGATGAGCGGCGCGAAGGCACCTACCCTGAGGGGCACAGGAGCCCGGTGGTCCTGGCCAGGACTCCCTGCTGGGGGCCGGGGGCCGGGGGGGCTCCAGGCAAACGCATCCACAGCCTGTCGCCTTCTCATAAACCTACAGCTGTCCATGAGCAACACTGTTTCACCTCTTCATGCCAATAAAAAGGAACTCTGCATTTCCAAAATCGCTCCCTTTATTATCATAAGTAGACTTCACCTGGAATTCCAGTAAGCAGTTAAAAACTATTGAGACAGCATCATTACAGTATGACTTTCAGCAGAAAGGGGGGGGGGGGCTTCTAGACGTTTAAGTTAAAATAGGCACTGATGGAGACAAACTCCAATTCCCAGGAAGGCTGACCCTCCACAGTCAGCCCTGAAAGCAGGATCACTGGGTAAATATGAAAAGAATCATACAGTGACTTTATTCTTCTTGCTACTTAAAAAAAAAGGTGATGGGATAGCCATGATGGTCCACATCATACGGGGAAGACCAAGTCCACACTTTGTCCCGAGTCAACTGCTACCACCTGAGTCTTGGTTAAGTCATTTGTACCCACAGTGACAGAATAGGTCCCTGGATATACTTCTATGTAGAGGTCCTTAGAGGTGTTCTCAGCCTGCAAGGAAAAACAGGTATTAGCCATTGAGAGACTAGAGGTCACGACGCCAGCAGGCCGCCTTTGGGTGCCAGGGGCGCAGTGGGATGAAGCACTGGGCTGGAGACGGAGGTCCTGCTTTCAAGGCTCAGCCTGGCAAGACAATAGGAATGTCATTTAGGTAAGTCTCAGCCCCTCCTTGTGCTTGTTTCCTTATTTCTAAAGTTGTGGTAATACCTACTTCACAAATAAGCACGTATGTGAAAACACTTGGCAAGTGCTAGAATGCTATACGAACATGAAGGGTCATAAAAGGGACATTCCTAATCGTGGGAGAAAGAGAGGAACTTGGTAGAGAGAAAGGCGAACGATCATTGTTTTGGGGCTCACAAGTAGACAGTGGCACTTGTTAGCACAGATCAGCAGTAACAACAAGGCACCAAGGAATAATGAGAATCTTTTTAACTGTGCTTTGTTTGCTACATTCATCATGAGGAAGATGAAATATTCTTTTCTCCAAAAGCTGAGCACACTATGAATGGATTCCATTTCGTCATGCAGCAAGTCCGCAGGCTGGCCAAAGCCTCCCTTGGACGATTGGTTCTCCTGTAACACAAACACTGGAAGCTGGAGTTAACGGAAAGATCTGTGTTTAGAGCTGTGCTGAGCACAGACGGTCTTCCAAGGACAGACTTGACATATGGCTGGGAAGTGGGCGGAAGTGCAGGCAGAGGAGGGGTCTCCGTTCAAATGGCAGACAGCAAAGTTGCAAACCAGAAAAGAGCCTGTAATTAAGAGCCAAAGCTGCTACCCCACAGCTGGGGACCCCCTGCCCCTCCCACGTGCTTCCTCCATGCTCAGAAGCCACAGGCAGCAGGTGTCGTCTCTGCCACTACACCCAGGGGGACAACAACAAATTACTGGCCAGCAAACTCCACCAGGAGGAATAAATGGTAATATTTACACTTTTATGAAACTTCCTTCCCGCCCTCCAACTTGCACAGATTTAAAGCCAACTTTTAAAAGGCAAAAGATTTATGCGTTTTGGGGGCGCCTGGGTGGCTCAGTAGGTTAAGCAGCTACCTTCGGCTCAGGTCATGATCCCAGGGTCCTGGGATCGAGCCCCACATCGGGCTCCCTGCTCGGCAGGAAGCCTGCTTCTCCCTCTCCCACTCCCCCTGCTTGTGTTCCCTCTCTTGCTGTGTCTCTCTCTGTCAAATAAATAATCTTTAAAAAAAAATAAAATAAAAATAAAGCCAACTTTTTCCAAAGCTGCTTTATGTTCTATCCTTTCATGCCCAGTTATTGCAAATTTGGTCTTCTTATCATTTAACTGACATGAATGTAAATGACTATGCCAAAACTATTTATTGGTCTTCAACTACGTAAGTACACAAAAGTAGATTTCAGAAAATACAGCCATATCAGAATTGCAGAAAGCCAAGGATACTTCATTTGTCTGCATAAGAGGAAACACGGGGGATAAGATCAGCATCCGTGATTCCAATACCACGAATATCAGGAAGATTAGCATCACCAAAATCCAGCAAGTATGGGAGGCATCTTGACCTAACATATATTTGTACCAGAAGCAGAACATTCTTAGTTGTTATTAACTCCAGTATATTCTGGGTCCTGGCTAGTAGTGCACTGTATACAAACAAAGATTAAGCCAAGTATTGCAGAAACATGCTGGAGTTCCTTTCCTCCGAATTCCAGCCCTTCTGAGTTCCCAAAAATTCCCTGGGTTCATGAACTAATGAGTACTTCTTTATCCTAAAAATGAAAAAAAAAATCTCATCACTGTGTTTTTAACAGAGAAACATTTGTGGAAAATGAGGACAAATCCCTTCAAATGTTCTGGAACTCGATCTAACCAAATTTACATGTTTCTGAATTTCAGTAATGGTTTTCACTTTGTAAGCAGGAGGGTCAGGCCCCTCCTGCTGCTTGAACAGATGGTGGAATTCCAGCAGAACCCAGTGTCAGCCCAGCTGAGCTGTAGGAACTGTGATGTGAATACTTCACATTCTTTCCAACCACAACTATGAGTTCAGGCACAAAAAGTATCCCTTAAGCTTCAAGTGAAGGAAGGATATGAGAAAACATAATTTTACACTGAATCCAAATGCTATACCCTCTCAAGAGTGAAACATCTCAACTTAAAAATACCGTGGATCTGGGACAAAGGACCCTAAAACTGGCTCAACTGGTTCATGGACTGGCACTGGCGGTGAAGCCCAGACGAGGAGATCTGTACTCACAGGCTGGGGCGCTGCTAGAGCACACCCTGACACGTGAGAGGCCTCCCAGGCCGAGGGAGGGGTCTCTTCTCTGAAGAGACAAGAAGAAACACTGATTAGCGCCCAGACTTTGACTTCTGGATTGTAAAGAAAAACTTTCCCTTAGTTTGTTAGGAACTAATAATTGTTCTGTCGGTTTCTTCTAAGTTGTCTCCTAAGTTGTTAAGGCTTTTAGTGAATTCTGTGAGGTATTTGTAGTCAGATGTTTACCGTGATGACTTTTTATATTTCCATGGGCTTTGGAGTCAGGCCTGAATTTGAATCCTCTCTCTTGCTTTACTGAAAAGGGCAAATTAAGTTTTCTAGGACTTAGTTTCCCAGTCTACAACATGGTGATACGAGATTGGAGATTTAAAGTGCAAGAGTGACTGACACTCAACAGGCTCTCAGAAAACAGAATTCTCTTCTGTGCTTCTCCCAGGAGTCCAGGTACTAGCGGGGAAAAGCAGAATTCCCTTTAGGGGCACCAACTTACATTTTATAGGAAGGAATGGGAGGGACAGGAATGACTCTTGCCCTCATGTAACCCCCTTGGGGTCAGGCCAGAAAAGGGAACCCAGGCTTCGGGCTCTGGCGTTGCTCTACACATCCCAGGCCAGGGAAACAGGAGGGACCTTCCAGTGTGCACCCAGCCCTCACTCACATCCCTGGGGCCACTCTCCCATCCTTTCCCTAGACCCACAGGCCGGAGAAGTCAGGAATCCAACTTGTGGATTAGACTCTGAACCTAAGTTTGCTATCTTTGAGTATAACTAGGGGGCATTTAAAAAGGGAAAAACAGGGGCACCTGGGTGGCTCAGTCATTAAGCGTCTGCCTTTGGCTCAGGTCACGATCTCAGGGTCCTGGGATCGAGCCCCGCATCAGGCTCCCTGCTCAGCAGGAGGCCTGCTTCTCCTTCTCCCACTCCCCCATGCTTGTGTTCCCTCTCTCGCTGTGTCTCTGTCAAATAAATAAATAAAATCTTAAAAAAAATAAAAAGGGAAAAACAAAATAACACGCCTACTCTCTTCAAAAACAACAATGACTTCCTAGTGCATCAGTTCAACAAGTAGAATCTTGGGCTTCCCCAGAACAGGTGGTAAAAGACAGATAAGTTTGTAGGGAGAGGCCTGTAATTGCCCGTTGCTAATACTAATAGTTTATTTCCTAATGCTCTAGAAAAAGAATTCTGTTAAAAGAGAGGGAGGGGAGCTGAGGGCACAGCGCGGACAGCTGAGGATACATACCTGGCCGTGCCCATCGTCCCAGCACCAGTGCAGCTCCGACTTCCCTCTGTGATACCGAGAGACATGGACCGCCCCTCCTTCCTCCAGCACAGATGAATAGTATCTCTACAGAAGGAACGGGAATGATGCTGGGCAAGCAAATAGTCTGGTCAAATTTTCAAAAAAAACCACAACTCCATGACTTGGGGAAAGTATGGTTAAGGAGGGAGGCAACAGAGCAAAGGTGAATTACCTGCTCTCTTGATAGGCCTCTGAAGTCATCCAACAAATCTGAGCCTATGTGAAGTGGCTGCAGAGGGAACTGCATTTGGCATGACTTTGCTGCCATCTGCGGCCTTTGTAGGGCAAGAAGCCTGGCCAACCACAGCTGGGCAGGACCAGGCTCTCTGCCAGGTTAAAGAATTTTCACAACTTCTTCGTCCCAATGTCAAATACATATGCCCTTCCATCTCCTCTCATCACAAGCTCTGATGAACTGTTCCATGGTTACTGTCCAAGTTTCAGACAAGGACAAGGGCAGAGGGGTGCGTCTCCTTGAGATTTAGAAATACAACAGGAAATGTAACAAAAACTCAAGAGCTAGGCAACTGATCTCCCCATGCGGAGGGGAGGAAGAGGTCTCTAATTTAAGGAGAATAATCCAAAGGATCAGAAAGCAAATTACATTTTTTCTTGTCTACTTCCTTCCTCCCCGTCGAAGTTAACCTTCGACTTGCCCCTGATTATGACTAATGATGAGGACATCACAAGTCTGCTTGTTTTGAACAGAGTGTACGGACAGGGTTTAAGGCATGAGACCAAAAGAACAGGAAGCTGGGGAAAGCACTTTAGGACACAGGTTTAATAATGTATTTGGGGGCTGCTTCAAAATTGTAAAGGCAGACTCAGAACCCTGTTCTTAATTCCATCTCCAGAAAGCCCAAGGGTTCTGAGACTCCATTCCCGAGTGGAAACCTGAACTGAAGTATGGACTAAATAGCAAAATCAAGAACACACCCATTTGCTAAACCTCAGACCAAAGACTATTGTTATTCCTTTTAGTGAACCATGAACCAAAATGTTTCAGTTGATCTCTTCACAGAAGAGCTGAAGTTATGGATTTTTCTAAAACCACTTAACAGAATAACATAAAATATTCTCGGGACCATATCTCATTGACTGGAATCCTGTTCTTGGAGTCAGGTATTTTACAAAAGATGTAGAGACATTAGAGATTTTTTGAAATCTTAATATATGAAATTGAAAAGCAGGACAGAAACAAGGTATTCTCTTCTTCTCCCTTGTAGACCAGCATCCTTATAACCACAAAAGAATCACATCAGGTTAAGGCTCAAAGAGACCACAGAGTCTGCTATAACTCCTAGACAACAGAGTGCCTTCCATGCAGGGGATTTCCCTGGATGCAGGCTGGCCTGCCTTCACCATTCCCTCAAAGTACTTAAAGATGACCTTAGCATGTGGTTTTGAGAAGGGCTTTAAAACCTTTGTACACCCATTTCAATGAATGGTACCCAAAATTTCATGTAAGTCCCTCATGCTATAGTTTATGACAATTTTCTGTTCATCTCTCAGTAGAAAAAAACAAAGAAACAGACTCTAAAGGCTGGAAAGCACTTTAGAGATCTTCATTTTATGACAGGGAAGCTAGGCTGAGTGGGACTAATTGGCCCAGGGCATTATAGCCAGTAAGTGGCAGAACATGGGTCTGGTTCCTGGGAGGCTGCTCCTGCCATTAAGTCACACCACCACTGGGGGGGCACTGCATCTGCTCCACATAACCACCTTGGTGGCCAACAAGTGATACGGACTCACAGAGACATACTTAAAAACTGCATTACCGGGGACTTGAAACAGAGGTTATATTCTAGTGTACGGATATTGTTTCAGTACATTTTGAAACCCAGAAAGGCTCAGTTGCAGTTTAGAACAAGCTTACTGATGTTTTTTAACTTCAGTTCAGTTCAAAGTTTAAAAAGTGCCTAATATCTGGACTTGATGGTTTTGGAATTCAGCAAACAACCTCCCCACCCCCCCACCCCCTACTAATCTGAAAACAATAGGGAGGACAGAAACCTTTTGTGGCTTGTTCACTGCTACATCCTCAATAATACCTACAGAGTTAGACTTTCAATAAGTATCTGTTGAATAAATTCTAACTTGGATTTATCACCTGGTTTAAATCCCTGTTTACAATCTAACCATGAAGGTGGGGCAGGGTAAATGGGTTTGTGGTCCATCTGCAGGTGGATGGGGGGGCATGCTTTGGCTTACACCAACTTACCCCGCACTGACTTGAAGTATAGTCCATGAATTCTGCCATTGTTCTGAAGGAAGCACTTAGGGTTGGTTGTCTTTCTTCTCTCTATTTGAATAAATGGCAAATCACAGGTGAGATCTGGTAGTCCCTACTGGAGAAAGAGGTCATTTTGGAAATAGCATCTTTTTTACTTTTTGAAAGGCCTCTACAAGTTTAAGTAAACAAGAAGGATCTTACTGAGGAAGAATTCCACTCTAAAAGGAATAAACAGACACGCAATTTATCCAGGACAAAGAAAGATGGTAGCATGTAAGAACTTTTTTAAAAAAGTAACCAACCAGGGCCGAGCTCTAGCGGTACCGTCAACTACCCAATAAGAACCTGTCAAATGTCAAGAATTTTCAAAGGACTTTTCTGTTCACTGTCCCGTTACTTTACAGCTTCCGCCAAAGGCTGGATCAGGGGCGTGGGCTCGGCGTGCCCCGGTTGCCAGCAGGCCACCGCGGAGCGAATGAATGGGCTGGTCCCCCAGCACTGGAGCCCTCACCTCTCCCGGGAGAAGGCGCTGGGGGCCAGCTGCGGGCCGTCTTCCTCTGTAGGGCCGCTCCCGGGAAGTGACCCCCACGCCGCTTTTGGGAAGCTCCCGCGAATGCCAGTCCACCGCCCTCCTCTTGGCCCGCTCCAGCACTTCTTGACCCAGCCTAGCCGTGCGCTGCAGGGCACGTCGGTCCACCCCGTTCAGCGCCGCGGCCGCCAAACAGTTCTCCATGTCTCCCTGCGCGGGCACATACACACAAACACCGGCCGGTCAGCGGGCCGCCGCGACCCTGCTCCAGCTGCGGGTCGGAGCCCTAGCTTCGACCTCCCCGGCGACCACCGCCCCGGGCTCTGCCCTTAACGCGCTCTCCAGCCGGCGCCCGGCCGGGGACGAGCGGGTCCGCGGAGATCCCCTCCATTTCCGTCTCCCCCTTCCCTTGGTGGGGGGCCCTCACCAGCCCGCTTCTCTAAGCGCATGCGCTCAGCGCTGTGTGGCAGAGAGAGAGGGCTGGGCCTGAAGCACCCGGCGCCGGCGCAGCAGGCCATTGGCGGGGGGCGGGGCCTGTGGCCTGCGTCGGTCACGCCTTCTTTCTGCGTCCGGGCCGCGGCCCCTACGCGCCGGTTGCCGGGCTAACTGCCGGGCGCAGGGGCGGGGCCTGGCGGCTTGCGGGTCGTGGGGGCCAGAGTCTAGCCGGTGGCGGGGGCGGCGGCTTGTCTGCTCCAGCCGAAGAGCCCGGGGGCTGTGGGCCTCGCCCTTCGCGGTGGTCTCCAACGTCAAACACGGTGGAGCCTGTGTAAAGTCAGGTGGTCTCCCGTTGGCCTAAGAAATTGTGGGGGATTAGACACCTGCCTCCAGGCGACTCTTGCTGCCTGGTTTATATCTTGGAATATCGCTATTGTAAAAAACCCTTTTGTTTGAGGAGATGAGTAGGAGAGGTCAAACAGTGCAGCTGCCAAGGTGGCGCTTGGAGAAGAGTTTGGCCAGGCGCCTGTGGGCAGTGGGACGCCCTCCGCCAGATGGCAGCTGTTCAGGGCCTGAGGGGCGCCTGAGTTGTATGTAGAGCCCCCTAATCCTCTCATGGCAGTTTCCTCACTCCGGTGGGAAGGACGGACTCACACATGTTTGGAAGCCTCTTCTAGCGGGGTGGAGTTGAACCTACCTTTCAAGAATAGTTGCGCCACATTTAAATAAGAAGCTGTGCCTCGTTACCCTGCACTCCACTCCTCCACACCTCTGGGTTATTTGATAGACCGTATAGCTCAAGGTCTCGCTGCTAATTAATGACTCTGCTACCCCACACTGCGCACAGCAAAGCGTTGGTGTTCAGGAAGAACCCATTTAAGGGATACTGCTCAGTGGGGGTCACTTTAAGGGACACTAGGAAATCTTCAATGCCGAGCGAGTCTCCTCAGCAGATGGCTTGATCAGCAGTTCAGGGCTACCCCAGGATACTACTGCAACCTCCCACCGCATTGTTGCTCATTTCCTGCTCTCCTTTCACCAGAGGAATTGAGGAAAAGTCTTCATTATCATGGGGATTTTTTTTTTTAAGATTTTATTTATTTATTTGACAGAGACAGAGATAGCGAGAGCAGAAACACAAGCAGCGGGAGTGGGAGAGGGAGAAGCAGGCTTCCGCGGAGCAGGGAGCCCGATGCGGGGCTCGATCCCAGGACCCTGGGATCACGACCTGAGCCGAAGGCAGACGCTTAACGACTGAGCCACCCAGGCGCCCCATGGGGATATTTTTCATAAAACGTTTCCTTCAATAATGTTTATCAAACGCCTCCTTCAGAACATAGTGGTTAGGCGCACGGGGTCCCGAATATCCAGTCTGGAGAGCTGGGTTTGAATTCAGATTCTGCCACTTTTTTGCTGTGTGATTCTGGGCGAACAAGTTACTTTACTTCTTCGAACCTCACTTTTCCTCTTCTCCATACTCAGGGATACCAAAAGTACCAATCTCCTGGACTGTGAGCTTCTTGAGAGTGAGGGCCATATCTGTTTTGTTTACTGAGTTCAAGGTGCAGCTATTATTTCATCTGTCATAGAAGGGGCTAAAAATAGCTATTGAATGCAGTGAATTAGGAATTGGGTTGCTGTAAGCATTTTGTGAGAATTCCTCGAAAATGTTTAACACAATGCTTTGCAAAAAGTAAGTGCTCCACAGATTTAGCTGGCATTATAATGCTCCAAGCACCGTCCTAGGACTTGTGGAGAATAGAAAGTGAATTTAGGCTAAAGCAGAATAAAAAAGAGAGAATGATGCACATAAAATCTGTAATGCTAGGAACCAAATATTAAGATTTTGTTCATAAGCTGTTGCTATAAGATTGATACAAAGTGTTATGAAGCTTAGAGGAGAAAGATATCTTTCAGTTGGGGAGATCAAGAAAACCTTTTTAGAGAAGGAGGCATTTGAGCAAAGTCTGGAAGTATGGCCCAGGAATTAATAAGAGAAGAGATATTTTATTTTATTATTATTTTTAAAGATTTTATTTATTTATTTGAGAGAGAGAGCATGAGGGGGGGAGGGTCAGAGGGAGAAGCAGACTCCCCGCCGAGCAGGGAGACTCCCCGCCGAGCAGGGAGCCTGATGTGGGACTTGATTCCGGGACTCCAGGATCATGACCTGAGCCGAAGGCAGTCGCTTAACCAACTGAGCCACCCAGGCGCCCGAGATATTTTAAATACCTATTAACTGCTTTTATAATGAATGTGGTTGGGGTGAGACAGAGTTTGTTTTTCTTATTTATGTATTTCAAAATCCTGGCTCCATAACTTAGCTGAATCTGTGTAACTCTGAACAGATTATATAACCATTCTCTACCTCAGTTTTATCATCTTTAAAATGGAATAACAATAGTATATCCTAAGGTTGTGAGGATCAAATTAATACAAATAAAGTGCTTTGAATAGTACTTGGCACATAGTAAATGCTCAATAAATATTAGCTAATATTATTATTTTAATCAGACTTCAGCCTTGTCTCCCAATATGTCCTCCCTTACCTGATACTATGTCATTACCTCATGTCACTTGGCTTTCTTCCCCAGGATTCTATTACGACCTCCCAATCCCCAATTCCATTCCAGCTGAAGCATTACTTTCTTTTTGTCAAGTCAACTTTTTGAAATCTTCTGCTATTTCCAGGTGCAACCTCTGTTTCCATGACTTTTTTTTTTTTTAATGTTGAGGTACTTATCTCAATCTGATTTAAATTATATGTAGTTATGATTCATTTTCCCCCAACAGTTTATGAACTCCTTGAAGGTGGAAATTGTTCCTATATGTCCCTAAATATCCAGGGCTTGTTAAACAGTATGTGTTCAATAGGCATTTGTTGAATTTACTGACTTAATTTTTTATTTAAATAGATCCCTGTTAGGCCAGAGAAGACTTGGCTTCTTCTTCTTCTTTTTTTTTTTTAATTTACTTATTTATTTGAGAGAGCGAGAATGAGAGAGAGAGAGAGTACATGAGAGGGGGGAGGGTCAGAGGGAGAGGCAGACTCCCTGCCGAGCAGGGAGCCTGATGCGGGACTCGATCCCGGGACTCCAGAATCATGACCGGAGCCGAAGGCAGTCGCCCAACCAACTGAGCCACCCTGGCGCCCAAGAGTTGGCTTCTTAAAAAAAGATCTACCTACATACTTTAATGAATATAATGAATATTCAGTTATAACTAATTTTCCCAGAATTTCACATTTAGAATTATATGGGAAAGAAGATGCTTAGAATGAAACTAAAGGGGATGCCTGGGTGGCTCAGTCGTTAAGCTTCTGCCTTCGGCTCAGGTCATGGTCCCAGGGTCCTGGGATCGAGCCCCACATCGGGCTCCCTGCTCAGCAGGAGGCCTGCTTATCCCTCTCCCACTCCCCCTGCTTGTGTTCCCTCTCTCAGTGTGTTTCTCTCTGTCAAATAAATAAATAAAATCTTAAAAAAAAAAAAAGAATGAAACTAAAGCCTAAAGACTGACATGAAATTAAGTCTTTGCATTTATTTTTGTATTTATAAATATATTTATACATATCTTTTTTTATAATTTCAAGATTTGAACCTTAAACCACAGAGTGAGAGAATCCTTTTTCTCTTTTTTAAGATTTGATGGGAATGATGATGAAACATGACCTACCATCAGGCCCTTTGTGGATCAAACACAGCCCAAGCCAGGTACTTCTTTAAATGTTTTTTGTTCTGTTTTTTAGAGTGTGAGAGAGAGAGAGAGAGAGTAAGACCGGGGAGGAGCAGAGGGAGAAGGAGAGAGAATCTTAAGCAGGCTCTGCACTAAGCGTGGAACCAGACATGGGGCTCCATCTCGCAACCCTGAGATCATGACCTGATCTCAGAGTCCAGTGCTTAAACGACTGAACTACCCAGGCATCCCAAGCCAGGTACTTCTTAAAGCCACCAGTGAGACTTGGAAATGGAACAGCAAATAGAGGGAGGGCATAGGATCAGGAATGAATTTGATCATCAGTGGAAAAACAAACTGTTGGTGTAAGTCTTCCATGATTTCTCTCTTCACGAGGGTAGATACATTACAGAGAACACACAGACATTGTCTAGGTTATATTTTGGGGAATAGATGGCTTGGAGGACATCTTTATTCCTGAAATCTGAGGAAAGAGATTGGTGCTGTGTTTGGAACTTTTTGAGGAGAAAAAAAGTTAAGTGAAGAGCAAATGTAAATTATGTTTCTCCACATGAAGAGGGCAAAAAAGGGTTAAAAACTTATGATGTAAAAGTGGGTATCATGCCAGAGTTAGACAATGATTTATACTGTACATACCAGAGAATGTATAAATCATTTTATTTGACAGGTGGTATTTTTATTTCTTCAGCAGACTTAGGGAGCTTTAGAATCATTACAGCTTTGTAAAGTAGTATTATAGACTGAGTCATTAGATCATTCATTTTGCCTGATTACATCAACTCATTGGGTTTTTGGGGAATGAAAGAAACTCATTATCAAAATTGTCATCTTGATTATATAGATTAAAGAAAATGGATCAAAGTTCTGAGAATTAGGAGCACCTGGGTGGCTCAGTCGTTAAGCGTCTGCCTTCGGCTCAGGTCATGATCCCAGGGTCCTGGGATCAAGCCCCGCATCGGGCTCCCTGCTCCATGGGAAGCCTGCTTCTCCCTCTCCCACTCCCCCTGCTTGTGTTCCCTCTCTCGCTGTGTCTCTCTCTGTCAAATAAATAAATTAAAAAAAAAAATCTTTAAAAAAAAGTTCTGAGAATTAGGTTTCACAACCTGTTAAAAAATTGGAAGTTAAAAAATTGATTGCAGAGCAGGAATGATTAGGGAAAAGTTTTGTCATTTAAAAAACTATCAGAGATTAAAGGAATGGTAATTTTGGTAGATATAAATAGTTGGAATCCAGGTGGAGTTTTAAAAAATGACTTTATTCAACTGAAGTATAATTTACTGTTACATTATATTCACCTGTTTTAAAGTGTACAATTCAATAAATTTTAGTAAGTTTATAGAATTTTGCAAACATCACCACAACCCAGTTTTGGAACATTTTCATTAACTGAAAAAGATCCCTGTGCTTATCAT